ACTGGCCTGGTATTTCCTGGGGGCTCCCATGCCACTGGGTGCCCCATCAAGTCACCCACTCCTGGCAGGGTGCAGTTTTAGGTCATGCCCACGACTAGGAGCCTCCAAACCATCCCTTACAGCTCCTGCCATTACCTCTAAGATGTTTCTGTAACAGCCTTTCAGCCAGGTAATGTTTCTGCCTAGCCTGCCAGGAGCAAACTGCTCTGTTTATATAGGCGGACAGAGTTCTAAAATGGCCGCCATAATCAAGCACCTGCTGACTGTTTGGCTCAGCCCTTAAAGTGGCAGGCACCAACAATGCCCTGCCACAGAAATGTTTTCAGTACACATTCTGTCATTTACTGCTGAAGTTGAGCCCTTACTTGCTGTCTAGTCTGGTGATCTGTAGGGGTCTTTCCATCCAGCAGCATTTTTCAAGTAATGGCATTTACAGATATATTTATGGTCTTATTTGTTGGTGGTAGTACCACTCCTAGGTGTCTCAAGAGGCTCCAAGCTTTACGACTTGAGTCTGTGAAGTCTAATGACTCCATTGCTTTGGTCCATATTTGTCTTCTGGATTCATTTAGGGAGTTCAAGAGAGCTTTGCCACATTCTAGGTTTCCTGAGGCCAAGAATTCCTGGAACAGATATTTGCTTTGTTCACTCCGACATAGAGAATATTCCACCTGGTAGCTCCTGGGGATGTGTAATGGGGCCAGTTTGAGTACAAGCTTGGTGAAGTGCTCAAAATTTTCTGGTTTTGGTGGAATCCAAAAAACAGTGTGCTTGATATCCTCAGTAAAAATGTTCCCAATTAGCCTTTCTGAAGTTATATCATGGCATGGGAATGGACATTAGTGTTGGAATTTCAATTTCTATGTGTATCAGGACTGGCCTGTGCTGGCTGTTTGGGAAATTGTTTAATACCATTCTTGAAGCACACAAAGGTTCACCTGAGCTATAATGTGACAAAACATAAAACAAGGTTTGAATCCTTTCTCCACCATGTGAAGTGGAAAGAGCTTCAATCTTTAGCACCAAACAAAAGGAACAGGTTTTCTGTAATTGCCTGGTCAATGACCTGTTCTCTACAGTTTTTGTCAGTTGTGTAGCCCCCAAGTCGTGTGATGGCTGTTAAAATCGCTGGCAAAAACCACTGGATGGTTAATGGTAGGCAGCATGCTTGGAATCCATGTGGCATTTGGAGGTTTATATATATTTATCATGTATAGCTATAGGTGTATTGTTTTCCAGATTTGTTGCGGTGACATCTTTAAGGGTGAATATTACATATGTTGCTCTAGTCCATGTTTGGGATGTTGGTGGCTTGTGACTAGCAGAAATCCCAGGATCTTCATTTTTGAGGTTCTTTCATTGTTAATTATGTGGGCTTCTTCAAGTAGTAGCACATCAAGCTTACGAAGTTTGAGGAGTCACACTGGGGCCTTGATAGTCCCTCCACATTTAAGTGACACAAACATAGTGATGGTTCCATGTTGCAATAAGTTTGGTCCTGAAAAAGGTCTTTGGCATTGAAATCCTGATCGGGAAGCCGTTTACAGGCATTCAGTCGTCGAGTTGATGACATTTGTTGTGCTTTAGCACATAACAGGGAAGACCACGAGAAGGTTGTTGTCTTCTTCCCCAATTTCTCGAGGCATAGAATCATTACTTCTTTGCCTCTATACCAAAAGTCTGCTACTATGTCAGAAAAAGGCTATTATATTAATCCTGATGGTACCTAATAAACCAATTTTTCATTTTCTCCCATTTTGCATTTTCTTTCATACCCTTAACTACTGTATTTGCTCAAAATCCAAGATGAAGTTTGTTCCCCATTTAACATGGAGAAAAGGTCCCTTGTGTTAGATTGCAGAACAAGGCAGGGGTCAGGTGGCTGCTGCAGCTCTGGCTCCAGTTCTGGCCCTAACCTGAATGCAGGACTAGAGGCAGAGTCACAGCCACCTACCCACTCTCTGCTTTTTCTCCCCATCCACACTGCCAGCCTCCCTGCAGCTGTTGCTTACTTTCAGTCACAGCTCTGGCTCCAGCTCTGTCCTAGGACACAAAGCACATGGTGACTAAGTATGTGCATAGAAAGTTAACAGTGGCAGTGGTGACAGCATTTCTGGTCCTCGTTTTGATCCTGGGGCTGGGGCCTGAACTGGAGCTAGGGCCTAAACTGGACCAGAGCTGCTGCTGCAACTACTGCTGCCTGGTGAGAGTGGGGCCAGAGCCATGACTGAAGCTTAGCAACAGTGGAGGGGGCATCCAGCAGGGAAGGAAAAGTGTGGGAGAGTGTAGCAAAAGGCTTGGTGCTCCTGCTACTTTAAGAGAAGGCAGAGTGCATGAGGAGCAGCCCACAGGTGTGGCAGGGGACAATTAGAGAGCCACCCAACCAGAAGGAGGATAGTCTTGAAGCACATAACCCCAAGGCCTAAGATGGCCAGGTAGTCTAGCCCAGAGAGCCATGGAGAGAGGAGCTCATGGGCAGTAGGGTTCCTGGGTAACATCTGAGCTGGGATAAGCAACTCTGGAGGTTTGAGAAAGGGACTAAGGAGAAGAGAATGCCCCAACAGGCCTGAAAGTAAAGAGGCCGGGAACATGGAATACAGAGCGTAGGGCCCATATGGAGTAGACAGGGCCAGGGGTTATAGTGCAGTAGGAGCAGACTTGGAAGTGTTGACACAGTGAAAGGGCTGGAGTCTCAAGTGAGACTGAGAATGCAGGTCTGAACTGGGGGGCCCAGTCCCAGGGACTGAGGCTGGAGGTCAGGAAGGATGAGTAAGCAAGGCCAGAGAGCCCAGAGGTTAGTAGCCCAGAAGCGGCAAGTGTAAGCAAGGCCAGGGAGCCCAAATGCCTCACTGGCTCAGGAGTGGTCCCAGCATTCAGAGATAGGGGCCAAAGGCTGAGGAGAGCCACAGCTGGAGGCTGGCAGGGCTAGGGGAGCCCATAAGTCTCAACTGGCCTCGGAGTGGGGCCAAGGACTAAACCAGGGATGGGCAATTATTTGGGACCATGGGCCATATAGGCAGTTCTGGGGAGCTGCTGTGGACCAGTCAGGACCCCCCATCCCACAACAGCCCAGAGCCTGCATGCCCTATGGCTCTTCCCCACCACTGCCAACAGCACACAGCCCCAACTCGCCCCCAACCCACCCCAGACTCGCCTTGGCCAGAGTGGACCAGCCGGAACCCATACACATAGCCATGAACCTGGCCCACCCTGCACCTGCTTTGGACTTCCTGCCCATGCTGAGCAGTGGCAGCAGCCAGGCAGAAGCTGCTGCTTGACAGGGGGGAAAGTGGCAACTCCTCCTCACTGCTGCTGCGTCCTTCTTGCTCCCCAGATCCTATGCCTGGACTGTCCTGTGGCTCCTCTTCGCTGCCATCGCTGCCACCACCACCTCCAGGCTGCCCAACAGGGCAGCGGTGGTAGTGCAGAAATGCTGCAGGGCAGCCCAGGCATGGGCTCCAGGTGGCTGCAGCAAGAAGGACTTGGTAGTGGTGAGGGAGAGGGGCTGCTTTTCCCCCAAACCCAACAGTAGCTTCTGTCCAGGCACCACTACTGCTGCTGCTGGTAAATGTTAGTGGGCAAGTCTGGCACTGGAAAGGGTGAACCAGCTCATGGGGTGAACTCATGGCATGGGGTGAGCCAGCAGTGCACATGGGTTCTGGCTGGTCCAAAGCAGCAGCAGTGGCAGCCAGAAGGAGCCACAGTTGCCTACTCTTTTAGCCTTTGGGAAAAGGATTCTTCAACAGGAAACAAAACAGAAACTTTTAAACTTTCTTCTAAGGAAGTAAGTCCTAAAGAAAGAGGCCATTCTAAATTTCTCCATTTAAAATTTTCTGGCATTTAAATTTGTTTTTCCCTCCTGATAGTCAGTGCTAATTAGTCTGCTCATGGCACATATGAATGTAGTTACACTGCTTCCAATACAGGAGGTGGCTAGCACAGAGAAATACAACATATTTGTGGGTGTTGTCTGGCATGGTATGTTTGTTGATTAGCCATGCCTGCTCTGTGTGAGAAGGGACATAGGCAGGTGAGGAATCAATTTTCCCACATTAGTGCCTATGAAACTGCAGAACTTGAATAGGTTTTAATGAACTCATGAAGTATAGTTTCATAGTTTCATAGTAGGTAGGGTCGGAAGGAACCTGAGCAGATCATCAAGTCCAACCCCCTGCCATAGGCAGGAACGAATGCTGGGGTCAAATGACCCCGGCTAAGTGATTATCTAGCCTCCTTTTGAAGACCCCCAGGGTAGGAGCAAGCACCACTTCCCTTGGAAGTTGGATCCAGATCCTAGCCGCCCTGACTGTGAAGTAGAGCCTCCTGATATCTAGCCTGAATCTACTCTCGGTCAATTTATGGTCGTTATTCCTCGTTACTCCCAGTAGTGCTCGGGGGAACAGGGACTCTCCCATTCCCCACTGGTCACCCCTGGTAAGTTTATAGAAGACCACCAGATCCCCTCTCAGCCTCCTCTTGTGGAGGCTGAACAGGTTCAGGTCCCTTAGCCTCTGCTTGTAGGGTCTGCCTTGCTGCCCCCTGACCATGCGAGTGGCCCTCCTCTGGACCCTGTCAATGCTCTCCACATCCCTCCTGAAGTGTGGTGCCCAGAACTGGATGCAGTACTCCAACTGCGGCCTTACCAGTGTTGCATAGAGGGGGAGGATCACCTCCTTGGACCTGCTCATGATGCATCTGTGGATGCATGACAAGGTGCGATTAGCCTTCCTGACTGCGTCCCCACATTGGCGGCCCACGTTCATTTTGGAATCAATAATGACACCAAGATCCTTTTCTGCCTCTGCGCTGAGGAGAAGGGAGTTCCCCAGCCTGTAGGTATGTTGCTGGTTCTTCCTCCCCAGGTGCAGTACCTTGCACTTGTCAGTAATGGTATTGTAAGCCAATAAAGATTGGAGTGCAATAATAAATTAAAACACTCTATCTGATCTATATAGGACCATCCTATTCCTATAGAAAAGATACTTCAATTAAGTACTTACATGAAAGGAGCTCATTGTTAATTGAATGAAGACTCTTATGTGTCTTGAAAATCCTTCTACTTGTTCATCTGTGATAAATGTAAAGACAGCTTCATGGATCCCCAGCAATGGTATCAACACAAGAGTAGACCTTGCCAATCTGAAAAATAAAATGTTTGAATACTGGATTTTTCAAGAAGCTTGGTGAGATGTTATTTCTTCAGCTATGGAAAAATAACTAGAAAAGCAGCTTGTTCACAGGACAGAGCAGAATGCTAGGTACCAAAATTGAAGGGACTGCACATTCAATAAAAAGAGAATAAGTAAACAGTGACCCAAGGCAAACATGACAGAAATAAGACTGTATGCAGAGAAACAGCTAAAGAACTGGCTGTAGCAGTGGGGATCGGGGCAGTGGGGGGACAGTGGGGATCTTCCCCCCCCCACCTAGCACCCATGTGGCAGCTACCCCATGGCACAGGTGCGACGCTGCTCGGCAGGGCACTGCATGCTGTCTGGGAGCTGGAGCCACTGGGGCTGAGCAGTGCTGTGATCCGAGTGACTGTCGGAGCCACCCCAGCTCCCAGACAGCACGCAGCACCCTACTGAGCTGTGCTGCACCCACATGATGCAACAGTGGCCGCACGGGTGTCAAGCAGAGAAGGGCAATCCCTGCTGCCCCCCACTGCCCCCTGCTGCACAGGGGTACTCTGCGATGAGCCCTCAGAGGCCCTGATCACCACTGCTGCAGCTGGTGACTGCAGGGATTTTTAATTTTTTTTTTAAATACCAGGAGGCTGTGCTGGGCGGGAGATGGAGATGGCCAGGGCAGGCTTGGGGGCTTCTCCCATGGCTCCCCCTGCTGGGGCAGAGGCAGGCACAGTCGGGGGCAGTGGCGATCATTCCCCCTGCTTGGCACCCACATGGCAGCTGCCACATTGCACAGGTGCAGTTCGGCTCAACAGGGCACCGCGTGCTGTCTGGGAGCTGAGTTGGCTCCACTTGTTACCTGGAGCCCAACACCACAGCCCCAGTGACCCCGGCTCCTAGACAGCATGCAGTGCCCTACTCAGCAGGCTGCTCCCGCACCATGGGGTGGCTGCTGTGTGGGTGCCAGGCAACGGGAGGTCATCCCTGCTGCCCCCCACTTCCCCATGCTGTGCTGGAGGCTCTGCCACAAGCCCTCAGAGGCCCTGATTGCCACTGCTGCAGCAAGTGGGTGTGGGCCTTTATTTTTTTTAAAGTGCCGAGAGGCTGGGGCTGGGCGGGGGATGGGGCCAGGCAGGGCAGCCATGGGGGCTTCTCCCACAGCTCCCCCCACCCAAGGAGAGGCAGGCACAGCCAGAGGAGCCGTGGGAGAACCTGCAGCCATCCAGCTCTGTCTGCCTCTCCCTGGATGATCTGAATCTCTCCAAATCTTTTCCAAATAGATTCAGAGGCTTCAGATTCGATTCAGACCTTTTAATGGGTCTCCCAGTTCAATTCAGATTTGGAGATTCGGCTGCTGCATTGGGCCGAATCTCCTCCAAATTGAATTTGCAACCGAACCTTTGCACAACCCTAGTGCTCATGGCTCCTATTATTCATTTCACCTAGCACTTCCAAAAGTCAGAAGATATTAACAAAAGTGCATTAAAAGATAGTCAGGTATATATACAAAGATATATACCTATATGTAAACAAATATATATATAACAAAGATATATACCTGTTAAGTATATATGTTTGAAAATGTGACTGAAATCATCTTGGACATAGGGGAGAGCCCTCTACCTAACTACATGAACTTCACCTGCAGTCACCCAATATCAACTTCACCTGCAGTTGCCCAATATCACTCAGCATAACTACTTTTTCCCAGAATGCCCTTCATTCACTAATGCACTCCTGTACCACAGCTGCTTGCTACCAAGACTGGAACTGGAAAAGTGGAGGAAGAGGTGGAGTGGGGGACATGAGGGCGCTGCCCTCTCATTAGGCAGCACCCAGGGCTTATGCCTTCCTTGTCCAGCTGTCCTTATGCTTACTGCTCTGAGCATCTGTAGACAGGTGTTAGACAAAGGAGGTCTTTAGACAGTACTTACAAGAGAAAACTTACAGTCATTTTTCTACACATTTTTACAGCAGTCAGTTCAATGGAGGTCTGAGAATGCTTGGGCTATCAGTACTAAAGCAATATAAATATTAAGGTATACAGACAACTATTAAAACAGCATTGCCTGAGTTCATAGAATGATAGAATTATAGCTAATTGGGGTTGGAAGGCACTTCATGAGGTCATCTAGTCCTGCTCAAAGTAGGACCATCCCCAACTATCCCCAAGAAAAAGCTAGGAAATACCATAATTAACTGTGTCCTGATAACCTAACTTCATAGTTTCATAGTTTCATAGTTGGTAGGGTCAGAAGAGACCTGAGCAGATCATCAAGTCTGCCCCCCTGCCATGGCAGGAAAGAATGCTGGGGTCAAACGACCCTGGCAAGGTGTCTATATAGCCTCCTTTTGAAGACCCCAGGGTAGGAGCAAGCACCACTTCCCTTGGAAACTGGATCCACATCCTAGCCGCACTGACTGTGAAGTAGGGCTTCCTGATATCTAGCCTGAATCTACTCTCGGTCAACTTATGGTCGTTATTCCTCGTTACTCCCGGAATTGCTCAGGGGGACAGGGGCTCTCCCATAGCCTGCTGGTCTCCCTTGGCCAGTTTATAGATGGCCACCAGATCCCCTCTCAGCCTTCTCTTGTGGAGGCTGAACAGATTCAGGTCCCTTAGCCTCTCTTTGTAAGGCCTGCCCTGCTGCCCCCTGATCATGTGAGTGGCCCTCTTTTGGACCTTCTCAATGCTCTCCACATCCCTCCTGAAGTGCGGTGCCCAGAACTGGACACAGTACACAACTGTGACCTGACCAGTGTTGCATAGAGGGGGAGGATCACCTCCTTGGACCTGCTCATGATGCATATGCGGATGCATGACAAGGTGTGATTAGCCTTCCTGACTGCATCCCCACACTGTCGGCCCATGTTTATTTTGGAACCAATAATGACTGCAAGATCCTTTTCTGCCACTGTGCTTTCAAGAAGGGAGTTCCCCAGCCTGTAGGTATGCTGCTGGTTCTTCCTCCCTAGGTGCAGTACCCTGCACTTGTCAGTATTGAATCCCATCTTATTCTCATCCACCCCCCCCTGTAACCTGTCCAGATCCAATTCCAGCCTGTCCCTCCCTTCTAGCATGCCCACTTCTCCCCACATCTTAGTGTCATCTTCGAATTTGAAGAAGGTGCTTTTCACCCCCTCATCCAAGTCACTGATGAAGATGTTGAACAGTGCAGGCCCGAGGACTGAGCCCTGGGGGACCCCACTGCCCACATCCCTCCAGTTTGAAAACTTCATCTACCTTGTTCATATACACAAGGTGTATATCCAGACATGGGTCATCAGCAAAACTGGTACTTTTAGAACTGTCCTTACAGAGTAACTGTTGATATATAGTTGCTATATAGACCAACCACTGATTAAAGGATGAAACTCACACTTTGTCAGGAGGTTTCATAACCATGTTCTGAGGACAAAGAAGTGCTGGATTTATGTTGCAGTCACATGTTTTGTACATGAGTGCACTATAGTGGTTACAGACGGTCCTAAAAAAATCTGTCACTTACGCAGACAGCATTGGGAACACAGCAGTCTATCTTATTCCTGGTACCTGCCCCCACAGCGGATCATGGCACCTGAAAGGAGCCCTGAGTCATGCTCTTTCACTTTCTGTAGATGGCATGTGTCTACTCTGTCTGCATGTCAGACTTGCGAGAGGCTGAAGTACATCAGCTGCAGATGGAGCCTTCAGAGAATATTGCCAGTTTCTGGCAGACTTACACTGTGAAAACAGATTCATAACTTGAATCAAGCTAGATATTTTTTATGTGCATGGCAAACAGCAGATTTCTTACTCCATGGTAAACTACCAGATCTCAACTCCCTGAACCAAAACATGCTGAGAAAATTAAGGGTTAAATCCAGATTGGTAAACTAGGCACATAGGCAGGATTTAGGCAGAAGACCTGACAAACACAAAGCATTCCAGAATGCTCCTGCTCCAGCAGCCACAAAATTATATAGATGATTTGATTGATTTGATGCCTTCATTTTGGATTGTGAATTTAATCATAGGTTTTGAGGTATGTGCAGAAATGCTTCAGTCTGAGCAGGTAGATGCTTAGTTTCTATATAAATTCTGTTGCTATCCAGAATGGAAGTGAAGTGGCAACCCCATAGCACCATAGAATCATAGAAAATTGGGGTTGGCAGGGACCTAAGAAGGTCATCTAGTCCACCCCTGCTAAAAACAGGACGAGACCCAACAACACCCCCCCAGCCAATGCTTTGTCTAGCCGGGTCTTAAGAACCTCCAGGGATGGCGATTCAATAACCTCTCCGGGTAATCTGTTCCAGTGTTTTACTACCCTCCTCATGAGAGAGGTTTTCCTAATATCTAACCTAAACTTCCCTTGCTGCAACTTGAGACCATTTCTCCCTGTTCTGTCATCTGCCACCACTGACAACAGTCTAGCTCCATCCTCTTTCAACCCCTCCTTCAGGTAGTTGAAGGCTGCTATTAAGTCCCCTCTCAGTCTCCTCCAGACTAAATAAGTTGAGTTCCCTCAGCCTCTCCTCAGAAGTCATGTGCCCCAGCCCCTAAACCATTTTCATTGCCCTTCACTGAACTCTCTCCAATTTGTCCACGTCGTTTCTGTAGTGGGGGAATGCCCAAAACTGGACACAGTACTCCAGATGTGGACTCGCCAGTGGCAAATAGAGAGAAAGAATCACTTCCCTCACTCTGCTGGCAACACTCCTATGAATGCAACCCAGTATGCTGTTAGCCTTCTTGGCAACAAGGGCACATTGTTGGTTTATATTCAATTTATTGTCCATTGTAACCCCCAGGTATTTTTCTGCAGAGCTGCTGCTTAGCCAGTTGGCCCCCAGCCTCTACCAGTGCATGGGATTGTTCTGTCCTAAGTGCAGGACTTTGCACTTGTCCTTATTGAAGTTCATGAGGTTTATTGTGGTCCAGTCCTCCCCCAATTTCTTAAAGTCTCTTTAATCCTAGTCCTACTCTCCATCATATCAACAACACTTCCAAGATTGGTGTAATTTGCAAATTTGCCGAGGGTGCTCTCCATCCAATCTTCCAGGTCACTGATACAGATATTGAACAAAATCAGCCCCAGGACCAACCCCTGGGGCACTCCACTTGATACTGGCTACCAACTAGACATCAAGCTATTGATTACTACCCTCTGAGCCCAATAATGCAGCTAGTTTTTTATCCACCTTACAGTTCATTCATCCAACCCATACTTCCTTAACTTACTGGTGAGAATGTTGTAGGAAACCAATGGCAAATGCCTTGCTAAAGTCAAGGTATACCATGTACACTGCTCTACCAGGATCCACTGAGCCAGTCATCTCATCATAGAAGACAATCAGGTTGGTCAGGTGTGACTTGCCCTTGGTGAATCCATGTTGACTGTTCCTGATCACCTTCTCCTCCAAATGCTTAGACAGATTCTGTGAGGACATGCTCTATGTTTTTTTCAAAGATTGAGGTGAGGCTGATTGGGCCTTAGTTCCCTGGATCCTCCTTCTTCCCTTGCTTAACAATAGGTACTATATTTCCCCTTTTCCAATCATCCAGAACCTCTCCCGATCACCACGAATTTTCAAAGATGATGCTCAGTGGCTCCACAATCACATCAGCCAACTCCCTCAACACCTTGGGGTGCATCATGCCCAGCCCCATGGACTTGTACATGTCCAGCTTTTCTAAATGGTCCCTAACCTGTTCTTTTGTCACTGTTGGCTGCTCACCTCCTCCTTAAACTGCTGCCAGGGGGTATAGTTTGGGAGCTGACCTTCCTTTGAAAATGTAGGTAAAAAAAGGCATTGAGTATTTCAGCTTTTTCTGCATCAGCAGTCATTAGAATGCCTTCCCCATTCAGTTGGGGACCCACACTTCCCTGCTCTTCCTCTTGTTGCTGAAATCCTTGTAGAAACCCTTCTTGTTACCCTTCATATCTCTTGCTAGCTGCAATTCCAATTGTGCTTTGGCCTTCCTCATTTCATTTCTGCATGCCTGAGCATTGCTCTTATATTCCTCCCTAGCTGTTTGTCCAAGTTTCCTCTTTTTGTAAGCTTCCTTTTTGTGTTTTAGTTCATTGAAGAATTTATTGCTAAACCAAGCTGGTTTTCTGCCATACTCGCTAGTCTTCCTGCACATTGGATGATTCATTCCTGCGCCCTCAATAAGGTTTCTTTAAAGCACAACCAGCTCTCCAGAACTCCTTTCCCCCTTAGACTGGCCTCCCAGGGGATCCTTCCCATCAATTCCCTGAGGGAGTCCAAGTCTGCATTTCTGATGTTCAGGGTCCTTACTCTGCTGCTCTCCTTCCTTCCTTTCCTCAGGATCCTGAACTCAATCATTGCCTGGTTTCTACTGCCCAAGCTGCCATCCACTTCTACATCCCCTACCAATTCTTCTCTGTTTGTGAACAGCAGATCAAGAAAGCATAGCTCCTAGCTGGCCTCTCCAACACTTGCACCACGAAGTTGTCTTCAAAAACTTCATGGATTGCCTGTGCACTGCTGTATTGCCCTTCCAGCAGATATCAAGATGACTGAAATCCTCCATGAGAACCAGGGCCTCTGTTCTTCAATTAGCATGCATAATGTGCACCTACAGTACTGAGTTCAATACAAAATGCAGCAACCATTTATTATCAGTCAAGACCACAGCTGGAGGAGAAGAATGTGCCAGGTATCTTTTACATAATATCCTAGTGGTTAAACACTCAGATAGTGGGAACACTGGATTATACCCCCACCCCCAGCCTAAAGAGATTTAAACCCAGGTATTTCATATTCAAGCAGAATGCCCTCACTATCAGGCTATAGGGCTCCCTCCTCTCTTCCTGGGACAGCTGGGTAAGAAGGCAGCAAAGATTCATAGGACAAGAAGGAGAGCAAATGAGAGTGAAGCTAACTCTGTAGCCTTATATTGAAGGGACACAGATGGAAGAGGTTTCAGTCCTTATATTCAGGATTATTTCCCATTTCTCCCCAGTGTCTGTGTAATATAAAATGCATAAGTAAGTGGGGAAGCAATGGCCAGAATTCATGTCTCATATCTCCCAGCTGAGAGCACTAGAGCCAGCACTTAGCCTCCAGAGTCAAGTGTACATAATGGGTTTACTGCTGCTATTAACAGGGCCATGTTTTGACAGTGGAACTGTGTAACATACTCAGAAACACTGAGTTTTCAGATGCTGCTACTGATCTGCAAGGAATTCCCATCTGATTGACTATATTGCCCATTCTCCTTCTTTCCTCCTGTAATTAGGTATCTTGTCAGTGCTGTGCTGTATATGGAAGAACAGTTGGAATTACTTTTCCTGCCCTCTGCAAACATAGGCTGAAGTGTTCCCCAAATCCTCCTGTCTGGTATTCTGAGAGCTAAATGGGAAGCAGCATCTCCCTGTCATTCTGCAATTCTTGGTGGAACTCTTTTCCACCAAGCTCAGGTAAAGAAGCTAGACCTCTACCTGGACCAAGAGGGGATGAAGAGGCTTCCAGCCATGTACCAGGACAATGATAGCATAATCAGCTGTGAGCCTCTGCAGAATAGCAAAGGAAAGAATGAACAGTGTGGTTGTATTGTTGGGGAGTGAAACTACCTTGTATGGTGTGTGAAAGAAATTAGCTGGTCCATAAAAGGTAGGGGTGATCTGAATTTTGTGTGAATGGAAAGGGACAAAAATTCATTGGAGAGACTCATAATTTAATGACATCCTGTTTTATGAAGTTTTTTTTCTATTTTTTGCTCCTGTGTTGTATCTCATAAATGAAGTAGTATATTGCTTATCTTCTTAGATTGGAAATCACAAAAAATGCAGTGGGGGAATTCAGTAGGTGGTGCTCATCTCTTTGCAGCTTTAAGGATTCCAAATGTCTGTATGTTATACTAACAGAAGTGAGTGACTGATGAGGGACCCTTTCTTTTGAGTTAATAATAGACAAATCCTGAAATGCAGGATATAAATCCTGTAAGAGGTGATGTTTGTTTTGAATGAGGTATAAAACTGAGGTTCCACCCACTTATTATTAAAGAGTTCATGACAAGTAGAACAAAACAAAGAACACTGTAGTGGTATTCCAGGATAAGAAAGTACATTCAAACTCTACATTTTCCTTCAGCTGACAGGCTATTATTCTTCCCTTTTTCTGAGACACTTATAGTACAGGCTCAGAAAAACTGTCCTATTTTACCTGTTTGTTAACTACACATAATTATATATCCTGCAAAGCACCATGGGACATGTTTGAATAAAAAGTTCTAAGGAAGCAAAAAAGATTAGTAGGTCTTTCAAATTTATTACATACCTGTACTTGTAATCATGAAAGCTCATTTGCTGGGCTTTGAGTTTGGAAATTAACAACTTCAGAATTTTTAGAAAGATGAAGAAATTAACCTTAAAAGAAAATATATATTGATTAGTAACAGAAAATGTCACAATACAGTAATACCATTTATATATATATTTATTTCTATATAGTTATATAGAAATATATTTGAATATTTTATATGCATGCACACACACATAAATGTATGTCAAACATGCAAAAACTAAACTAAAACAAATGAAGATTGCAAAGTTAAGTACTCTAAAGTTAGAAAATCAAATTTTCTAGATGGCATAATCTTACTTTTGCTTGTTTTGTTTGTATTTTCATAGGAAAGTAGGAAAGCTGGGCTGGAAGGGACCTCACAAGATCATCTTGTCCAGCCTCCAAGATTGTGTTATGATACAAACTTTAATTACAAGATCAGATTTTGGTTTTAATGTAAGACACCTGCCTCATTCAGTGAGTGGGCAATTATTCTAGTTCTTCTAGTCTTCTTTATTCAATATGTGATTCCCAGCCTAATTTAACTCACACAACACTAATAATGCACTGAATACAGCTTTATTCATATCCTCATCTATATTTCTATGCTACTTTCACAAGGCTATCTGGAGGATTTACAAACAATGACTGTATTTTCACAACAGCCTGGGAACATGAAGGAATTGCATTATCCCTGTTTTACAGATGGAAAATGAAGGTACAGGGAAATAAAGGCTAAAATGTCAAGTGTTCACCAATTTTGAGCATTCAGCCTGAGACACTTCTGCATCTACATTGTAAACTATGTATAAGTGCCTCAAATAGCAGCTACACAGCTAGAAAACTGCCATTTGGATGCATAAAGTGAAATGTGATTCTGCCCTACATGCCTACCCAGGTGAAATAGAAAACTGCCCTGTTCCCAGTCTCAATAGCTTGAAGAAAGCAGAAATTGGCCGTATCTACATGAGATGCTGGCTGCGCAGTAGCCTGCAGCTACTATGCTGTAGCGTTGCATGGCAACAACAGCAGTGTGACACTACTGCACAGTAGTCTTAAGCTACTGTACAGTAGCATCACAAAAAAAGCCATTTGTTGGCACTACTACACAGTAACTCAGGTTACTGTGCAGTAAATACTTGTATAAATTTGTTTATACAAATACTAAATGACTGCACAGTGACGACTGTACAGTCAGTGTCTCATGTAGATTTGGCCTCTAAGTCATACATCTTGGCAGCAAAGCAGAATTTACACAGAGTTACAGATGATGACAATGGAACAGATTCAATACTACCTTAAGGATTTCCCAATTTTGAGTGGGAGAGAATACCAAACGGCAAACAGGCAGCGTTTTAGGTACCTGTCAAAATAATACCTAAGCTACCTGTCAAGATCATAAGTCAGAATTATCCAAGAAAATCAGTGGTATAGAAGGAACAGAAGAGGTCTCGGCACACTGACGAAGACACTTGCTCTATTTTGTGGATGTGTCTAGGATGCTGCTGACAGAAATAACTAAAGCTATGGACAAACAAACATTTTAACTGCTTTAAAAGGGGAAGGGCAGCTGGTAGTGGGAGCTATATCTCGATTGTTACAATGTAACTCTTATCCCAAAGCTCCTCTAATGTGATACAAATTTTAACACTGAGGGTACATACAGACATTCAGGGAGGTTACGGGGAGGTTAAATCGTGTTAAAAATGGTCACCTGATTTAACTTAGTTCACTCAGGTGGGGACCTTACACTTAGATCCCTAGTTAGGTGGTTCAGTGTGTGAACTCTACCAAAGTTCAGGACTGTTAGATCGGTTTAAAAATGGCCAACCAAATCTAAGTTAACTGTACCTCAGAGGTAGTCTAACTTAGACTAGATCCAGTGAGATTGAGCTAATTGAACTTTTGTACAGTTCCCAGCGCAGCCCCAGGCCTGGGAAAACCCAGGTGCTGCTCCAGGCCCAGGGCTGTGCTTTTCCTACCTCTTGCCCCCTCCCCTGCAGGCACTGGGCTATTTTTAGGCCCTGGACAGCCCCCCACCCCACAGACCAGTCCGCCACCCCACCCCCAGAATCTGCCACATGCCCCATCCCATAAGCCACTCCCAGTACCAGTTTTACTCAGTACTTGGATCCAAGGAATTAAGTTGGAGTGGAGGGAGGGGCAAAGGGTATTGGAATAGATCTGGTTCAATGGAGGGGGGTGTTGTTTGTCTGGGGGTGGGTTGTTTGGGGGGCTAAAAGTAGCCCCTGGTCATAGGTGGGGAGAAAACCCCTATCCCAGCAAGCACCACAACATCCCCTCTAACAACCCACCCAACACTCCTGGACCCCCATCAACCCCCTGTGGATGACATCTGCCCCCCACAGTTCTCCCTAAACCCTCCTGCAGACCCTGCTAGTCCCCAAGCCTTCTGCAGGCTCTGCTAAACCCCCCTTCCCAATTTACATTAAATCAGGTGGATGTTTTTAACTCAAGCTAGCCTCTCCCTAACTAGCCTGAATGTGTGTACATACCCTGAACAAAACAGAATTAAAGTTGCAATGGTTTTGCTACCCTTGATACTACAGAAGCATGAAGATGTAAATTCTATCATAATAGCCTATATCAGTACTATTTGATATTGATACAAGTGTTGTCTGTCTATATCTTTACATGTTCCCCATCACTGACAAGGACAAACACCAGCAGCAGTACATGCAGGCCAAAGGAGCTTGATCGACCCTAGAACATGAAGTAGCTGTGAGTTCACAAAGCCTCTGGGATTCAGAGGATGTTTCTGATAGACCTGTCCAATAGTAATAAATCATTATAATCATCTCCTGTGAGCACACCCCTCTCATCTAGCTGTACCCATCTGGAAGTTAATCCTATCACTGCAGAGCATAGTCACAAGCATGGGAGAATTTCAGTCCGCTAGGTATCTGATAGTATGCTGATGTACTGTATGCCTAGAGGAAAGTACAGTAGTGCTCCAGATATCACACTAATCTTAGTCAAAAACCCAAGGACACTCATAAACTTCTATTAAGTGAAAGGATTCCTTTCTTATGGCTCCCAGAGGTCCAGCAATGACCCAAGAGGTTCTGCATAGCACTCTTAAATGACATATTTTATTTGCAAATGATTTTGCCCACAACATACAGTTTAGAATTTTCAGTCATATCTAGTGCAACTGTATACATTGGTTCCTATTAGTTATGAAATATGTTAATTCAGTAAGACATTTTCCTTGCCTCTCCCACTCCAGGAAAATTGATCTATGCGTTGCTTTTTGGTGTTCAGCATTTGTCTCATATGCCTATATAGGCTTCTTGAACTCCACAGCTAATGCTGACTTGGTCCTGCAGATTTATAGTCATTTTAGGGCTCACTTTCCTAAAGTGCTCCTCACACCATCAGGAGTACTTTTCTTTTTTAGTAGATGGCCTTACTTATATATTTGCTGATGCTCCTTCCTTGCTTTTTATTTGCATATTATTGATATTCTGTAGGTTTTGGCAAGCCGTGCACATCACACAGCCTTCCTTAATATTCTTTCCCACTATCCATGGCTACATTCCTGATTTTGTACTATGACATGATCATATGTCCAGGGTATCAATTTTCCATGGATGTATATGTAAGATGCAGCACTTTCATATAATATAGCCAGGATGTGGCCCAAAGTATCAACAGAGTTCAAAAACCAAATTTCAAGAAAAAGCCAAATAAAGTTAACATCTACCAATTACTCACTATAGCTAGTACAGGATCAAAAGCACGAACACATTAATGTACTATTGATTATTACTATAAGTCTAGTATAAATTAATTAACATTTTCTACAGCACATGCAATATTCCACATGTGTTTTACATTTGCATAACCATTAAATGAAAACTATCCAAATCTCAGATGGTTAGATTTTTTTTTTAAATATTGAGCAAAAATAATCCATTTCTCAATAGTTCTTTTCTATTTCTACGCAAAAACAAGGAGTCACACTTCCAAACGTGGACTATCTTTTTTTAATATAAAAATAATTTTCCCTTTTCCTAAGTAAAATTAATACCAAAGTACAAGTTCATATAAGTTATCTGAATCTGAATTCCCTTTATATGCATCTGATTGCTCACTGAACAGGTAGTTCTCGTGAGATTCAAGAGACATTGGTTCTTGACCCTACACTACTTAACACTACAGAAATATAAAATCCTTCCTGATAAAATTTGCTTGTAACACAAAAATTGAAGGAATGATAAATAATGAAGAGGACAGTCCAGTTATACAGTGTGATCCAAATTGCTTTAGTAATGCCAAGCATAAATTCATAAATATAGGATCAAATAATATAAGACATACTTGCAGGATAACAATGCCATCGTTAAAAGCAGAAGTTATGAAAAAGATTTAGGGAGTAATGGTGAACAGTCAGATGAAATGAGCTTCATGTGCAATGAACAAAGACAAATGCATTTTTGGATGTATACGTATGGAAATCTCAAATTATATAACCTCTGTATCTGGCACTTACATGACTGCTATTGGAATCCTGAGTCCAATTCTTGTGTCCACAATTCAGGACAAATATTGAAAAATTGGAGAGAATTCAGAAAGAGCCACAAGAATGATTAAGGGATTATAAAATGCACAGCATAGTGAAACTTCCAAGGGGTTCGATCTGTTTAGCTTAAAGAGAATGGTAAAGGGTGACCTGATCACAATGTATAAGGTCATAAAGGGAAGTGAGAATTTGGCAATGAGTGCTTTTCAATCTGTCAAATAAAGATAAAAGATCCCATGGCTACAAACTGAAGTTAAACAAATTCAAAACGAAATAGGGTAGAATTTTTTTTAACAGTGACATTTTAAAATCAAGAATGGATGTTATTATAGAAGATGTTCTCTAGTTCAAATGGCAATTAATTCAGAAACGTCCTTTGGCCTGTCCTGTGCAGTTGGTTAGATGAGATTATCACAATAGTCCCTCTTGGTTTTATAATCAATGATCTCTAGATATGAATTACAAATAGTACTTTTAAGTTATTTATGCAGGATATTTCTTTCTGAGTATCATCTAAATTATGTCCTGGACCATTTG